GTGTAGTAAGACATCTGCCATAAGAGCTGAATTAACGTCAAATACATCCCAGAGCATATCTAAGAATCAAAATGCATCTCGCAAGAGAGCGGCTGACGGTGTTGGGCAGGGTCAGTCAAGGCCAGCTCACAAGGGGCAGGCTGGGCCTGACGCCTCTGGGCAGAGAGGAAATAGGCAAGTTAACCCAGTGTACCGCACCAGTGAGGCCAGTCAGGAAACCCGGGACATATCGCCCACTGGGATGACCCCCTGAAGGTCAGGCGAGGCTGAAACACGGGCTAGCCTCGGGACTGCCACTGAACCAGGCTGAGGACCTAGGCAGGAGGCAGAGCTGTGGCTCCCTCTTACTAGTGGCCAGAATACAACAGGACTCTGGTTGATGAAGGAGAGAAAAAAATAAAACCCAAGCCGGAGGGAAGATGAGGGGAAAGGCGGAGCTCCCAGGAAGACTGTGTAAGAGAGAACCATGGCACAGATAGAGTCCCGCAGCCAGGCCGGGGCAAACGAGACAGACCATGCTTACACTAAGTCCCATCAGATAGCCAGGCCAGGGCTTCAGACAGATTAGCTCAGGCACTGGGGAGAGCTGCTGGGTAGACAGGCCCACCAGGAGGGGAAGCCAGGCCACCAGCCACAGGCTGCCCTCGCCACACCCAGAGCTGTCCTGTCTCCTAAAGTGACCCAGCAAGAGTCCAGAGAGGAGTTCCTGCTGATCTAATGTCTAGTGTGTGACCTTGGCCACAGTAACAACGCCCTGCCCTGCGAAGTGTTCCTTCTTCTGTGCCAAGATGGCTTAAGCCATTTTATCGGCAGAATTCTTTTGAAAGGTAAGAGTACTTGTGGGGTGAGGAAACACAAGCCAATTATCCTCTTACGTCTCGGTCTTTTATACTTTGTTTTTGTTGTTGTTTTGCTTTTTTAAAATAGAGATTGGGAGACCTGAGAAAATTTTGAGATACAATCAGAAGATTTCGGGTAGTCTTTTGTTTGCTCTTTTATGTTTGAGGACTTGCTGAGGGGTGGAAGTTAGGGGTGTAGAGAATGAGACACAACTCAGTTTTTCTCTAAAAACTTACATTTAGCATATATACAAAGACAAATAATTAATACACACACACACAAATGCCTGATGCAGCTCAAAATGTAGAAATGAAACACAGAAATGAAATACACAAAGGAGAAAGCCAAGACTACCAGAGGAAAAAAGTCGAATACTGAAGCAAAAATAAAGTCAGGTCATTCTTGGGGAAGGATCAACGCTTGGCTAAGAGAAAGCCAGTCCGTCCCATCTCTTCTCCAGGCTTCCCAAGGGCAGGGCACCAAACCCGTTCAATGAGAACAATCACAGCCAACGGGAGGGAAAGTAAGAAACAGCCGCTGTTACAACACCCTATTTTCCTTGAATCTAGTTCTCAGAATCCAAGACACCTTTTTGTTTTGGTTTGGTTTTTTGTTTGTTTATTTGTTTTTCGAGACAGGGTTTCTCTGTGTAGCTCTAGCTGTCCTGGGAACATGCTTTTTAGACCGGGCTGGCCTCAAACTCACAAAGATCAACCTGCCTCTGCCTCCCTGGTGCTAGGATTGAAGGCGTGAGTGCACTGACACCACCCAGCCCAAGATGCGTTTACAAAAATAAAAGGGAGCCACCGTAAAGCCCGCTCACGCTGTTCTGACACCACGTGAGAAAAACCCTCGGGTCCCAGAAAAGAGGCCTCTGCCTGCGTTTGCTTTCTTTCCAGAGACATTAAGTGAGAAGGCAAACAGCTCTGGCGCTAACCCGTGGCTTTAAGCCCCCTCCATTCACCACCCCCCCAAAAACCAACACCCACACAAGCTTCCAATTCACTAAACCTCAATTTAATTTTAAAATCATAGTTTCACGAAATTAAATAGTTAAAAATACTTAATGTAACAGAAAACAATTAAGTATCAGCTCCTTTAAAATATATTTATTCCATCCTCAGTCCCAAACACACACACACACACAAAACTTATAGCTATACACATTTACCACCGGGCCCTATGGCATAATATAATAATATATTTTCAATAATCAATATGGATTTTTAAAGTGATTCTTCTGAGCTAGAAAACTGCAAAAAAGAAGAAGAAGGAGGAGAAGGAGAAGGAGGAGGAGGAGAAGAAGAAGAAGAAGAAGAAGAAGAAGAAGAAGAAGAAGAAGAAGAAGAAGAAGAAGAAGAAGAAGAAGAAGAAGAGAATGAATGATGAACCTCAAACTCACAGCACATTCATAAGAATTAGGAATGTCGGATTCCCAAAGGCAATTGCAGCGTTAATTGTTCTTCTTACCAATAAGGAGTTTATTGGGGCTTGCTCATATAGAGGGCTAGAGCCCATGACCGTCATGGCGAGGAGCCTGGCAGCAGACAGGCAGGCAGGGCAACGCCAAAACTGCCGCAGTAGCTGAGAGCTCACACATCTGCGAGCACCCGGCAAAGAGAGAGCTAGCCATGAAAGGAGGGTCACTTTCCTTAAAGCCAGTATGAGGAGTGTTAGTCTCCACGCCTGACTTAAATCTTCAGTGTTACTTAAAAGAGTCAGTATCTAACCACAGTGACATTTTAACATGAGTTTATGTAACTGTCCCTGAGAACTCTACAGATCAAACCCCCAACAGCAGAATCTTTTTCACTATCAGTGTTAATATAAAATCAAACAATTCACAGTGCTCATTTGTCCTACAGTCAATCCAGCTTTCCGCTTAACCTCTCCAGAGTTAACAGTCTCGGGAAATCTATTTTTCCGAACTTCTATACAGATATGCTCAACTTTTTTTCTCACCACACACTGTTTTATTTTACTTCCCCTTTAAAAGCTACTCTTCAGGGAAGAAAGAGACAGGGCTCAGCAGCTCCAAGCACGGGCTGCTCTTGCAGAGGACCTGGTTTCCACCCACATGGCAGCTCACAACCATCTACAACTCCAGTTCCAAGGGATCTGGCCCCCTCCCCTTCCCTCCGTGGGCAGCAGGCTCACACCCTCCTTTTCCCTCCGTGGGCAGCAGGCTCACGCCAGGCCCATCCACACACACGGGCAAAACACTCGCACACATAAAGTAAATAAATATATTTAAGAAGCACTTTCCCCTCAGCTTCTCTCTCACTTTTATTAATTCTCTCTTGCTCTCTGAATAAATCTGAAGAAACAAAAACGAGGGCCACATTTCTAGGACAATCCATGACAAAACTGTTTATATAACCCAAAATAAACACACAATTAAACTAAATGTGTTGAGAGTGAAAGGCTTGGGGTTGTTCCGTCATTTCCAACTGCATGTAGCCAGGAAGGCCTGCTACATCAGTGGTTCTCAACCCCTGGGTCGCGACTCATTTGAGGTCACGTATCAGTTATCCTGAATATCAGATATTTACGTTAAAACTCATACAGTAGCAAAATTGAAGTTACAAAGTAGCAGTGAAATATGGTTTTTTATGGTTGGCGGTCACCACAACATGAGGAACTATATTGAAGGGTCGCAGCATTAGGAAGGTTGAGAACCAGTATTCTAAACGAATACCAAGAAAGCACAAGTCATTTTTGACAACTCCCCGGCTCCATGTTATATATTCTGCTCTTAACAACGTGGTAGGAATACCTGAGATATTTTACCCTGGTTGTATTCAGGCACATGGAATACGTCATTTTCTAAGGACAACCCAAGCTGAAAATTCTAGAGATCCTCAAAAGCCAGCAATGGCATGGAATTCGGACAAGTTAGAAATACAGATATTTTTAGGTTTTCCACTTAAGTGTTTACCGGGTCTTTCTAAATTAACTGGATGTCCCATACTAGTCAGATACCCAAATACATGTCACTTATGAATAAAGCGTTAGTTATAATTACTTAGTACATGTGGTCTCAAACCATTCAAAATACGAGACCTGTGGTGCAAAAGTTAATAAAAGGAATTTACTGGTAGCATTTAAGTTTTTAAAAGAGTTACAGTCATGTCTCACTATGTAGCCCTGGTTATCCTGGAATTCTCTCTGTAGACCAGGCTGGCCTCGAACTCACGGAGATCCGCCTGGCACTGCCCACTGGGAGCTGAGACTAAAGACCTGTGCTCCGTTACAGTCATTTTTTAAAAAACAGTAACAATAAATTCTGAAGACCACTGACTTAAGTGGTCCTGTATCAAAAAGCCAGAATATGTTGAATTCTTAACTCTGGAAAACGGCTAAAGTTGACTTTATCAACCTGTTAAAAAAAAAAAAAAACATAGACTTTCCAGGTCAGGCCTCTGTTCCCTGATCTTTGTAAAAATAGTATTCATTAGACAGCTTACAGGGAAGAGTTATATACAGGCACACAGCACCAAACTGTTTCTTTTAAAACCACAATTTCCAATTCTCCTTGAAAAGCAAAATGAGATTCTCCCCCTCAAATGACTGCCCTTGCCAAACAAAATGCCCCAGGTGTCTGAAGAAAGCTGAAATTTCAAAGGCCACTTTAAACCAATAACCTTTTTAAAAAACTAACTAACTAACTAACTAACAATCCCCTGGGTCTCAGAGGCTGGTTGAAGAGACAGGTGCAGGGTGTGCCTTCCTGGAGGCTGTCTCCCCCATCATCTGACCTTCTCCAGCTGGCAGCTTGGCACCCCACACCTCAGTTATCAGTAGGCCAAAGCCTGCGTTCCCATCTGTACTTTCCAAACGGCTCCTGTTGCCAAAGGGCTCACACTGACCTGGCTCTCCCATGAGAACATGCCTCCTGAGCGACTTGCCAGGCTTCCCTGGAAGCGTATCTCAGCTGTCCTCTGGGCTCCCTCCTTAACCTCTCAGTCTCTTGGCTCCCTCTCCCCTCTTCCCTTGAGTTTCCTAACACCTCCATATTGTGACCCCAATGCCCTTTCGATCCAACGTCCTTGTCTGTGTTCATAAACCACTGACCCTTGCCCCGCTAAAACACCCAATTCTCAATTCAAAGGGCAGAGTTGCGACAATTCCCGAGCCATTTTGATCTCTTTGAGGCCTACCTGCAGCGGGCAGCTGAGTCGTGGCTTCATCTCTTGCCTTCTCCAGCTTCTCTCTCACCCAGGGGAATTCCTGGAGAGAATCTAGGAAGGTATCAAATGCCTTGGGGCCCCTGGAAGGCAGGATATCCAACAACAGCATTGTTTTCCGGAGGCCTGTGGTTTGAGCCTTGATTTCTTGAACATGGTTTTCTGTCAGAATCCCCTCCTGGTAGAGGTACTGCAAAACCAACCCTTCCACCAAAACCTCAGCACCCAGCTCCAAACGCAGTGAGCGGAGCACCTGCTTGTCTCTGGCATCCATTCCTCCCTGGAAAGAAACAAAATCAGCACTCAGGGTATGGGAATGCTGATGGACCCCCTCAAGACAGTGTTGCTATAACATCATTAATAAGCACCTTAAGGTCAGTCAGATCTCCGCATCTTAAGAGAGTGTCAAGCCACAGTGTTTTCTACCTTGGCAGCTAAGCCAAGTCAAGTCAACTTCAAACACTTCCGAGCATAATGAACCACACTAATGAGGAATCTGTTTCTATCTCTACTTTCCACATTGTAGGGCCCTATTTCAATTACTTTTTCAGTAAGAGATCCGACAGAAAACAGATCTGAGACCTCACACAAAATGCAATCCCTGAGAATTATAGAACAGCATTTAATTATAGCGGATTTTAATGTAATATTGCTTTCATCCATCAGGGCAGCACCCATCCTACAGGAGCTGCCAAAATGACCAGGGACAGTTATAGACCCTGACCAGCATGGGGGGACTGGGGGCGAGCAGAGAGGACAATCTAGAGGTAAGAACGATTTATGGATCTTTCTTACAGACAAATCCTCCCTCCGCAGGACAGCACCTTCAAGAAAATATTTGTGTGCCTTTTACAGTAAACCCGTCAGAGTCCAGAGCCTGGGTCACAGTACAGACGGGACGTATAATGAGCGCAGGTGGCTAGTGTGTTGTGGCATGGCAATGAAGGTCATGGGGAGGGGGGAAAGGGCAAGCATGGGTGGCGGGTAGGGCTTCAGACACCCACGGAGGGAGTGCAGACGGGGGACACCCGATCCCAACCTTGCCACCAGCCTCTGCAAAGTCCTGAGCTGGCAGGTGGGCGGGGGAGGGGTGGGAGTGTCCATAGCCCGCAGCGTGCTTCCCTGCGGAACTTTTGAGGTCTCCCTGTCTCGGCTGCTGAAAGCCGTCCTTGTGTCACACCAGCGACGTGCAGGGGACACGAACCCGAGGAATGATCTTCATCGGGAATGCCGCTCCCGGCCCCCGGCCCCGCCACCCAAACCCTCGCCCTGCTGGGACCAGAGCAAACTGCGCCGAGAGAGCCGCGCAGGGGCGGTGTCGCCACAGCGCAGGGATTTAGGGAGAAGATGGATTCCTGTTACTTACGTCTGCGACCACGTATCTTAGAAAAAAAAAAAAAAGACTACAACCGGAATCCAAACTCTTAGGGAACCCGTGCCATAAACACCATCTTTGTTGCAGGCAAAAGCCCTAGACAGGAAGTACTGTAGCCATCTTTGTTGAGGGCAAGGGCAGGGCGTGTGGGAGCCATCTTTGTTGAGGGACCAAGAAGTCAGCTTAAAGCTTTCTCCGCCATGTTTGGTGTGGGTAAAAGAGACACCCTCTCCAGACTTAAAAAAAAAAAAAAGTACTTTAAATGATCTAAGAAGTTATCTAAGTAAATGAATCGTTGACTCTTAACACAAACTCTCCATGAGAGCCTTACACATAGCAGGCAGGTCAAAAGTTACTCAAGCAACTAAGCCTTGGGTTCAACGCCCAGTAAAACAGACACTTGCACAAACACACACGTTACTTTTTTAACATGAAGCGATTAATAAACTCGTCAATTCATTTTTTTAATTAATTGGATGATATACCAAAAAGGATGTAACTGCTTTGTTTTGTTTTGTTTCGTTTTTGAGACAGGGTTTCTCTGTGTAACAGTCCTAGCTGTCCTGGAACTCGCTCTTGTAGACCAGGCTGCTTTCGAACTCAGAGATCCTCCTCTGCCTCCTGCGGGCTGGGATTAAAGGCGTGCGCCACCAATGCCCAGCTGCTAATTCTTTTATTATATTGTAGGGTGTGTGTGTGTGTGTGTGTGTGTGTGTGTGTGTGTGTGTGTGTGTGTCTTTGTGTGTCTCTGTGTGTGTGTGTGTGTGTGTGTGTGTGTGTGTGTGTGTGTGTGTGTGCATGAAAACAGATCTTTATACAGGGCCAGATGAGGTCATTTGATCCCTTGGACCTGGAGTTACAGGAAGTTTAATCTACCAGACGTGGGTGCTTAGACCCAAACTCAGGTCTTCTGCAAGAGCTGTCTGTGCTCACAGAGCTCCACCGGTCTCTGCCTTCTAAGTGTGGGATTAAAGGTGTGTTCCATCATACCTAGCTTGCCTCCCCCCCCAAAAAAAATTGAGAATACGAAAAGAATCCTTTATCAAGACCGGTGGAGCTCTGTGAGTTCGAGGCCAGCCTGGTCTACAAATTGCAGTACAGTCAGGAATGTTACACAGAGAAACCCTATCTTGAGAAACAAAATGATATAAAACAAAACAAAAAAGAGTTGGTGGGGAAGAAATGGCTTAGCTGTTAAGAGCACAGACAGCTCTTGCAGAAGACCTGAGTATTTTTATGTCTTTCAATTTGATCCTTACTTTTGCAATATTAAAAAAATAACAAGTCAAAGAAGCTGGATGTTTGGTTTCTTCCAGTTTCATAGATGTGAAAATAAGGTGACAAAGGGACAGAGAAAAAAAACAGATTCCTTCTTTTAGTAGACATGAAATAATCACAAAACTAGATCTTGATTTAGTTCACAAGAAACTGAAAAATTCCAATGTACAAAAGTATGTATTTTCCCATTATATAATAAGAATCAAAATTTTAACAGAAGGATAACGTCTCATGAGTTTGCAAATAACTCTAAGCAGGGCACAGTTGCACAGGCCTTTAATCCCAGCACTCAAAACAGGCGTGCAGACCTCTGTGAGTTCAAGGCCAACTTGGTGCTTGTAGCAAAGCCAGAGAAGATTATAAAGTGAAACCTTATCTCAAAAAGAGATGGAGGGGGGAGAGGAGGAAGAAGAGAGGGAGAAGAAGAAGACAGTTCAACCTCTAGCTTACTTTACTATATTGAGTACTGGGGATTGAAGATATGGCATCATATAAACTAGGAAAGCACCCTACCACTGACCCATATCACCAGCCTTCTTTCTGTTTTCCCTACTGTTTATTTCGAGACAGAGTCTCACGAAGTTGCCTAGGTTGACGTAGAACCTGTGATTCTCCAGCTCTAACCTCCCTAGTAGCTGAGATTACAGATAAGTGCCACCATGTCTTGTGCTGAGGAATAACCTTTCTGTACACTGTGAATATGCATTACTCTCATGGGTTAATTAAAAGCTGGCAGGCGGAGAACCAGGCAGGAAGTACAGGAGAGACAACCAAACTAAGGATGCTGGGATAAAGAAGGGCAGAGTTGCAGGAGATGCCAGAGATGCAGAGGAATCGGGACAGGTAGAAAATGGGGTAACAAGCCACAAGCCATGTGGCAGTGGTAGATAAGAAATATGGGTTAAATTACAACAGCTAGCTAGTAACAAGCCTGAGCTATAGACCAAGCATTTATAATTAATATAAACTTCCATGTGTTTATTTGGGAGCTGTTGGCAGGACAGAAACTTCTGCCTACAGCCTTGTCCTTTTAAATTCTTGAATTTGTAGTGGTCTATGAAGCTGGATCATCTCAGCCAGCAGCCTTGAAGCTGTTCTGGATGCAAAACTGTGAGGAAACTACAACAGGGTGCTCCAAAATGGTGGATCACCTGAACCACTTGTTTCTATTGGTGTCTAGTCCCTTTGTTCTGAAAATACAAAAACATTTAAAGGTAGCATACATATCTGTATTAATACAAGTATAGACTTACTTTATACACAAGTGAGTCAAAGGTTTTTTTTTATGTTTGAGCAGATAAAATATACATTATGTGCTTTGTAGCTTTTCTAGGTTTATTTCTTTATGTCTGTAGCCAGGATTTTCAAGGGGTCTTTGTCAATCAAATGTGATCATCTTCAACCTTAAATGAATCCACAGCGTTTTGTTTTCTGTGGGAACAAAAGCATAAACTCTTCCCCAAAGCAACGTATCTTTTGACTTCTGTTTTGAATCAAGGCATTTTTAAAATATATAGGTTGGTTTAATCCAGCAGCCTTCACAATCCAATGTGTCTTAGCAGTGATTGCTCATTCATCAGCAGTCAAAAAAATTGAAAACAATACAATAACATACAAGGTCCAGACTACCCATATAATTTTTCATCTTTATAGGGCTTTTTTCTTTTTATATTACCTTATTCCTTTTTAAAGTACTTTATTGTTTTTAAATTATTATTTTTCCAAAACTGTCTATACTCTTTCTTTTTTCTCTCCCAAGCTTATGTACATTTTAAAACACACTAACCCTTTAAGAAGTTTCTTTCATCTGGGTCTGTCTTTATTGTTTATCTGTAATCTTTTCTGTCTACGTGAGCAAAACTTAAACCACTGTACAGCTTAGCTCATGATATGTTGGGTCCTCCCCTTCAGTTCCCTGAGAGCCTAGCCTCATGGTGGAGGTATCAGGGAGCCACATGTAATGCCCCAACACTGGGAAGTATTTGGGTCTAAGCTGCCACTGATTAGCACACCGCCCACTGTGCCCTGCCCATTGTTCATAAACCTCACTTAAGTGTTTGACTGTAGGGCCTCTTAAAATTGCTGTACCTCTGTTTGCTGCTAGTATTGAGTCTTCCCAAAGAAAGGGCAGTTATCAGGAAGACATGTTTGACTCTGTTTTTGTAAGTTTGGAATCATTTCATAAGCTTTCTTCGGTCTTATGTGGATGTAAGTGCTGGACATTTGGATACCGTTTGTAGGTGGAGTTTTTAATCAGGACCATCAGTCAGGTTTGTCCCACCAGCCCACTCCCAAATAACCACACAGAGAACTATTATTAATTACAAATGATCATCTGATAGCTTAGGCTTGTTACTAACTAGCTGTTTCAACTTAAATTAACCTGTATTTCTTATCTACACTCTACTACATGGCAGTACTATTTTTCAGCACAGCATGTTTATCACCTGCCTCCTCTGTGTTTGGCTGGTAACTCCATGATTCGGCCATTCTTCTTCCCAGCATCCTCCCAGTCTGACTTTCCTGCTTAACCTCTTCTTGCCTAGCTATTAGCCAGTTGATTTTATTGAACCAGTGAGACTAATACATATTCACAGTACGCAAAAGAATTGTTCCACAGTGCTTCCCTGTTGAACTCCTGTTCTATCTGAGTTCCTGTCCTGGATTCTTTCAATGATGGACTAAAATGTGAAGCCTAAACCAAATAAACCCTTTCTTCCTCAACTTGCTTTTGGCTATGGTGTTTCGTTCTTACAATAGAAACCCTAAGACAATATGTACCAGCTTAAACTTTTCTGGACCTGGTTCAAGCAGGAAATTATCAAAGGAGCCTTGATATGAACTATCAGATAAATTAAGGGGTTTTCCCATGCTGCTATGCATAAGATACCGAAATATTCACCAAGCTACATTTCTGGTCTTCAGATGCATTGCATAAGAGAAGGCAGCCCAGGTACTGGTTTTCTAGTGATACAGTTAAGTACAAGACTGAGAGACTAAGAGTTAGATGCCCTTGAGACCCTCTCAAATACTAAGTAACAACCAACCTGTAGTTCCCTAAATGGCACATTTTAATAGCTAACTTGTCTACTGAGTATCTACCGGGCTGACATCAGGTGTCACCGGTTAGAGAGAAAGCATGAGCTTCAGCGTGCTGGTTCCCTTTTTGTCAATTTAACACAAACTAGTCACAGAGGGAGAGGGAACCTTGGTTGAAGAAATGCCTCCACCAGATTGGCCTGTGGGCGTGTCTGTGGGGCACAGTGTTGTTTGATGATTGATGTGGGAGGGCCCAGCCCCAGCCCACTGTGGGCAGTACCACCCTGACCTGGTTGTTCTGGGTTGTAGGAGAATAAAGTGAGTAAGCCATGAAGAACAAAGCCGTAAGAAGCACCCCTTCGTGGTCTCAGCTTCAGGCCCTGACTTTAGGGTTCTGCCTTGGCTATGCCCAATGATGGACTACCGCTTGGAAGGGTAAGACGAAATAAACTTGTTGGAGAATATTATTTTTAGGAGTGTGACTTTTGTTTATGCTGCATTTGTTTAACTCTGTGAAGCGGTGTTACTGT